ATTTCTCTGTCTATTTCACTGTCTATCTATCTATCTATCTATCTATCTATCTGTCTGTCTGTCTGTCTGTCTGTCTGTCTGTCTGTCTATACATCAATCTATCTATCTCTCACTATATCTGAGAGCATTGCGACAGAGCAACGATATTTATTAAAGGGATTTTATCAACTTGGTATAGATGGATAATTCATGAAAATTGTTACACCGGAATTATTCGTGAATTGACAAACCCAGTTTTCGTTCAAAGAAATATAAATATTCAACAGCGAAAAGTTTTATCATACAATGTATGCGTGCTCGTGCGTGCGTATGTGTATGCATTGCATATCTAAGATAGAAATGATATATACATTCGATAATATTAGATAAGGCGAGACTTTTTCAAACTGTAGACGCAAAGTAAAATAAAGTTTGCTTGTTTTTCTGCAATGCACGAACGTATTATATAATATAAGGCTGACATTGTGAAATAACACTAGAAAAATGAATGAAAAAAAAAATTAACGGGGTCTCTTTTCTTAGAGTCTTGTTATATTCGAAAGTAAGAACGTGTCCAACGATAATAAAGAAATTAGTGAAAATTAAAAAAGCAAACTTATTACGTGACTCTGCGGTACATCTTAATCTCTTAGCAGAAGCGAATAGAGCTGAAACGGGGTATATAAAATTCTGTTTTCTCTCTCTCTCTCTCTCTCTCTCTCTCTCTCTCTCTCTCTCTTCGTCGCTCCGCGCTCGTGCGCGCGCGCGCGCGCGCGCGCGCGCGTGTGTGTGTGTGTGTGTGTGTGTGTGTGTGTGTGGGAATGAAAAGAGGTGGGCAAAAATGGTGGGCGAAGAAGGTGGGCAGGGAGAGGAGACAAAGATCGCGTAAAAAAACCGGCCTCGAAAACTGGGTCCGATCAACAAACCGAATAATTTCTACCGTTGTCTATAGATCGAACGTCGGGGGGCGCGCGCGCGCTTCTAGTAAGAATCATTTCATACGCAGCCAAGGCGCCACGATCCTTGATATACGCGCGGAGCGTCTCCGGTACGAAAAAGAAAAAGGGGGTCGTCGCCGGAGCGCAGGAGGCAAACATCTGACGAAGACCAGAGAAGAAAAGACACGTTTGCTCGTATACAGAGACCACAGCGACGTTGAGGGACTTAATGTCAGACATTCGGGATGAAGCCCCTAGGAGCGGGAGGGTTGTCACATCGGGAGGCGGCTATTTATAAACTACAAATATGTAAAAGAGAGTATTATAATTGTGCGATAGTTTTGTGTAAATGATCGATAGGGAAGGAGTCACGGACGTCTCGATTGCACGGCATAGTCTCTAAACATTAGATTCGACTAAACTGACGTCTATCTAGACTTTCCTGTGCAATTGCTCGTTCTAGCAGTTCAGCTCGTGAAATTAAGCAATTATTAGATAGACGTATTCGTTTGACAATTAAAAGGGAAGGACCGAGAGGCTGCGAACGACTGAAAAACTGCATCGGTTAGACTATATTTGAAATATCTCTGCTACTTACAGCGTGTGTGCTCGCACGGCGAGAGAAAGGACAGAGAGCAGGATATACCGGGTCGAGAGGATCGACCTGGGTTGCGGAGCGAGAAGAAGGGGGAAAGGGAGAACCGAAGCCGGGCGAGCGCGGAGGTGAGGCTCAAGGGGACCTCGGCCTCTTCCATGACAGGGGAGAGGGAGACGAACTGAAAAGAGGAGCGAGGAGAGGCCCCCAAGACTGGCGAGGACGACACAGAGGGTCCGTGGGACCACGTCGATCCTTTTCTCTTTATGCCTCTATACATACTCCCTGCCCCTTGCTTCTCATCCTCCTCCTCCTCCTCCTCCTCCTCCTCCTCCGTCTCTTTCACCTTTTTGCTCATCTCGACGTACATATTTATGTATGTATTCCTCGCGGATAGAGGAGAGACGGAACATAATGCTCGGGAATACCGCGGCGCTGCTCAAACACCGCGTGGGAGGGACAGAGACAGACTTTAATTCATAAGCATCGGGATGTGGTGGGGAGAGGGATGGAGAAGGGAGGGGATGCGTGACTCGTCTGCAGGGACATTCGTGTAAAGGTACGTAATGTCACTGTTTACGTTTCCGCGCAGGACTTTGTTTAGACACTCGCGAGACCGAGCGATTATTGTTTATGCGCTCTCGCGAGGCTTTTTGTTTCGCGCATTATTTATGCGCTTAAAGCCCTACGAGCCGCGCACACACTCGCGCGCAATATATATTTGTTATATTGCCCGGGCCGAATGAGCGCTTGCACATGGAAATTTAATGACAAGGGAGTGCTTATTAGCGAGCACTTTAATGCTTTGTCAGTTGAAAACATACGGCGAGGAGTCATTTGCATTAAAACCGCTCGAGACGCGTGTACGTTCATACTTCAGTTTCTTTAAATACCGTTTAAGATAATTAGGAGCTCTCGTTCGTTCTTCCCTTATCAATTTTGTAAAATATCTCATGTGCTTAACATTATATAATTCAAAAATGTGAACAAAGGAAGACTTGGAATAATCATTCCTAGACATATTGGAAAACGTCCAATTTTGCCAATCATCCATTCCTTCGAGTGTTAAAAAAAACGTCCTGTCTTTCAATTTCAAACTAGGATTCTGTTCCATTGTAAGAACGTTTAGCTATCGACTATACAGCACGTTCTTTTATTTGGAAGTATAAAAGATTTTTATTTCAGCCAACATTTTTAGTAATAAATAGTCTTTGCCGTCACCTTTCGAAAGGAGAGAGAGAAAATTTCGACAAGGATACGAACTGATTAATTGTATTTTATTTAATGCCACAGGGAACAACCATTTCGATATAAAAACATTTAGTACATTGAAACACATACACGCGTATATACGCACACAGTGAGAGAGAGAGAGAGAGAGAGAGAGAGAGAGAGAGAGAGAGAGAGAGAGTGAGTGAAAGCAAAAAGGAAATATAAGACAAAGGGTAAAGAATAAGAAGAATAAGGAGAAGAAGAAGAAGAAGAAGAAGAAGAAGAAGAAGAAGAAGAAGAAGAAGAAGAAGAAGAAGAAGAAGAAGAAGAAGAAGAAGAAGAAGAAGAAGAAGAAGAAGAAGAAGAAGAAGAAGAAGAAGAAGAAGAAGAAGAAGAAGAAGAAGAAGAAGAAGAAGAAGAAGAAGAAGAAGAAGAAGAAGAAGAAGAAGAAGAAGAAGAAGAAGAAGAAGAAGAAGAAGAAGAAGAAGAAGAAGAAGAAGAAGAAGAAGAAGAAGAAGAAGAAGAAGAAGAAGAAGAAGAAGAAGAAGAAGAAGAAGAAGAAGAAGAAGAAGAAGAAGAAGAAGAAGAAGAAGAAGAAGAAGAAGAAGAAGAAGAAGAAGAAGAAGAAGAAGAAGAAGAAGAAGAAGAAGAAGAAGAAGAAGAAGAAGAAGAAGAAGAAGAAGAAGAAGAAGAAGAAGAAGAAGAAGAAGAAGAAGAAGAAGAAGAAGAAGAAGAAGAAGAAGAAGAAGAAGAAGAAGAAGAAGAAGAAGAAGAAGAAGACGACGACGACGAAGAAAAGGAAGAAGAAGAAAAGAGAAACGTATATAACTCAAGAGTTCTATAGGAGCAATAGAACGACTTGCTCTTTCATTTTCTTTTTATTTTCTTCCCATTCATGAAGAGAGAGAGCTCTATCTCCCCAAGAATCGCCACACAGCCGTAAATAGACGTATGCCCTGTCTATAGTTAACGTACGATGTAAAAATGAAATCTGTAAAATTACTGGTATACGCGGAGGAAGTAGAGTGACCTATATTTGATATACTGAATTTAACAGCCAAAAGGCAAGAACACTCGTTGTAAGCTGGCATTTCAAATTTTAAACTTTGCAACTCGACTGAACAAACGTTCAGCTAAAACTTACGTTAAGTAAATTTTATTAAAATCACATTGGTAGGCACTGGCTTCGCTCCTTTTCATAATATCTCTTTACATAACATAACGGTATTTATTCGATTTCATAGAAGCCGACAAGTGCGATTTTCAACTCGACTTTTCAACATCTCCCGAAGCACTTACTACGTACTTTTCTGGCCGGACTCCGGCTTTAACTCTGTATGCTCTTCATATTAAGCAGCCAACTATCTCCAAACTATCTCCAAACTATTAAACGGCCATTTCTGCGAAAAAAAAGCAGAAACGGAAGGAGCGGATGAAAGGGAAAGGGATAAGAAAAGAAATACTCGGCGAACATTTAGCCCTTTAAACAGAGAGCCCGACGCTCGTAGTAGTCGTCTCCTCCCTCTCTCCCTCACGTCATCTGAACCCCTTCCCCTGTGCGCCAAACCCCTATCCCGTCCCCGCCGCCCGTCCTCGCGCTCAACGGCTCGCCCCACGGCCCAGACCTGAAAAATCGCGGAAAAACTTTAAAATCACAGAATTCTTCAACCATAAGTACCGTCTGCACTTCTCTTACCACCATATACTCGATATTACCGAAGCCCAGGATCTCCGCGAACTCGGCGCCTCGGCTCCAACTCGCTCAACTTTCTACCACCCACCCGCCGACTTTTTAAAGCTTCCTCCACCCTTCAGAACCGATTCGAAGGTATCCTCGAGCAGGAGGCTACTTGTACGAGCTCTGCAAGGGGTTCGAAAAGATAGCGAAAAGTTCGTCGCCGTCGAGTTGGAGGGCGCGGAGATCCTCGATCGAATGGGCAGCGACGGAAAACGCATTAGCAAAGCCCCGGGACAGAGAGTCCGAGGCAACCCTGAGGTCCGACGGGCCAATATCCCGTTGAACACCACCACAATTCTAGGCAAAAAAGGGTCTCACCATTATTTCAGCGATACCTGCACCTGAGGACGCGGCTAGTGGAGCGTGCAACCGAGTTCGGGTTGGAAGGCTGTTAAACCTCTCTCTCCTCTTTTCTGTCCTTATTCTCCTTCGCGTTCGTTCTCGCGCGACGTTTCGTGCCCAGAACGAGTTCATTTCTTGCCAAATATAGCTAAAGAATGTAGTATATTTATATTTTCGAATACACGGTGAGGACGAGAGAGACGCTTTCGCAATCGAACGAAATTTTATTATTAAGAGATATGTTATACGTAATACTTAGCCTTAAATGCACGATGAAATCATTTTATGCATTGGTGAATAAAATAGTATTCGATGGACCAACGCTTATAAGCGCGTTTAGTAATGTGACGCAAAAATGGTGGATGCGTGTTACTTATTCTCGTTATACATCTTAAAGAGGTTCAACGACTCATCTAAGAGCCGACGAGTGAGCAGAATATTTTTAATAGTCTTACTTATGACTTGCAGCATAAAAAATTAAAAAATTTAAATACTTCATA